GTTTAAGTATATATATTTAACCACTTATAATAAAATACCTGCTTGTCGATGTATTACCCAAATGGAAAATTAGATCCGTCCATGCTTTTACAAATTTCTCTTTGTATACGAGCCAAGTGTATTGGAGATACTCAATCAAATCTGGATAATTCGCGTACTCGTCCAACAAAGCTGTGTAATTCCTGGCGAAATCTTCTTCAGACACTGATTTTACCAAAGTTTGCCACGTACCAAGTACAAAAGCCGTGCCGCGACGCCTACTATTGCCGAGACATCTTGAAGCACGACGCCCCACATTCATGTTAATGTGCCAAAGACATAAGAGATGAGGTACGGTCGGAAATACATTCTCTAGCGCCTTTATGAGCCCTAACTCTCGATCCGTCACAATGACACTAGGTAGAGTCTGAGGGGGGAAAAGTCTCTTCAGCTTTTGCAACACTCATGTGTAATGGTCTTCATTTTCATGGCGCAAAAATGCGACTGCAACAGTAAAATTTTTCCGGACAGGAGTAACACCAACAATCTCCAACAAAGGCAATTTGTACTGATTGGTTTTGTAAGTACTGTCAAGTAGTAATACGTACGGAAACTTACTTAACAATTCGACAGATTGAGGGTGAGCCCACATCAAATCAGTAACTGCATGTGTTGTTTCATCAGTACGGAACCACTTGTAATAGTTATGCTCCTCAAGCAACCCAATCAAGTGTTGCATCACTGTACGGTCACCCCTAGATAGTCTTTTCAATTTCGCCTTCTGATTGTATATTTGTTTCGAATAAGCATCGAGACCCAAACCATTTTGTCTCAAGTTAGCCAAAATCTTCTTGGGCGGCACATGACTTTGTGACAGATCACTAATGATCTTCGCCTTCTCCAGAGACAATGCACTCATCCCATGCCCGGACTTGTATATCGGAACATGATTATGCTTCCCGTATATTACTCTGACCTCCCATCTATCATCCCATCGTAGCTCTCCGACAATATAAAAACCACAGCCTATCTTTTTGCTACCGGTCCTTCTCGGGCGCGCGTCTGGATTAGTTGATGGACATTCTCGTTTTTCCCCGAATAGGTCACAAGTCAAAAAAATCTTTTTTTTAGGACTGCTTCTTTTTACTATTTTCACAAAAAGACCTCTTGCAACGAACCTCACCCAAACCACTACCTCATCCTTCGAGTCAAACAACTGAGTAGTGGTAAAATAATCGGCATGATCAACTTCAAATGTAGACGTATCGTCCTGAAAAAAACGTAAAAAAATTGATTTAAAAAAAAAAAAAAAAAAAAGGGTTTAAAACCCAAATGCCCAAGTCGGGCGCCCGGCAGTGCAGTGCACGCCCATGTTGGGCGTGCAGTTGGACTACAAACGCCCATAATGGGCGTGTAACAGCCAACTGC